ACTCCCACCTGCCCAGCCTCGCCGGGCGCCTGTGCCCAGCCAGGGCTGTGCCCTGCCCTGCTCCCCTTGGGACAGGAGCTGAGTGCTGGCCACAGGCACCATTCCCAATTCCCAGTCCCTCCAGCATTTCCAGTTCACAGATCCTGCAGCATTCCCGGTTCCCAGAACCCACAGCATTCCCAATTCCCAGTTCCCACACCCTGCAGCACTTCCCAGACCCTGAAGCATTCCCAACTCCCAGACCCTGCAGCATTCCCAATTCCCAGTCCCTCCAGCATTTCCAGTTCACAGATCCTGCAGCATTCCCGGTTCCCAGACCCCACAGCATTCCCAATTCCCAGTCCATCCGGCATTCCCAGTTCCCACACCCTGCAGCATTTCCCAGACACTGCAGCATTCTCAACTCCCAGACCCTGCAGCATTCCCAGTTTCCAGACCCCACAGCATTCCCAATTCCCAGTCCCTCCAGCATTTCCAGTTCGCAGACCCTGCAGATTCCCAATTCCCAGTCCCTCCAGCATTCCCAGTTCCTACACCTTGCAGCATTCCCAGACCCTGCAGAATTCCCAACTCCCAGCCCCTACAGCATTCCAAATCCCCAGACCTCGCGGCATTCCCAATTCCCAAACCCTGCTCCATTCCCAGTTTCCAGTCCCTGCTCCATTCCCAGTTCCCAGCCCCTGCAGCCCCAATGCCTTGGCTCTCCCCATCCAGCCCAGCACCCCGGATTTTCTGCCGCGGCGGCGGTGCGAGCTCAGCCAGGGTTTCCCCCGTGTTTCACCCGTTCCTCGGTGAGGTGGAAAGCAAAAGCAAGCCAGGCTGTTTCATTAGGGACCCCCTGGAGGAACCTGGGTGTCTGAGCGCAGCTGATTGAAACCACATTTGATTCCAGGGGGTTTTTGCTGAACCGGCCTCGCGCCGGGGCCGCCGCGCTCATCATCCCCCACAGCCAGCCCTGCTCTCCCCAATCAGCACTAATTAGCTGAGTGGGGCTCCCAGCTACAGGCAAATTCAGGAGGACTGAAACACAACTGAAGGCAATATTTGCTGGCAGGAAAAGCACCTGGAAGAGGCAGCAGCTTTGGAATATCCCACCAATGTTGCCGAGTGCCCAAGCAGGAGCACGGCATCTTCCCGAAGGCTGGAAGCAACGCTGCTGCCAAGACCCTTTAATAAGCACCTGGGTATTGTATCATGTATTAAATATCAAAATTAATCAACACAGAGGGTCTCAAGCAAAACCAAGCCCTCACCTGTGCACAGCAACCATTCCCCAAGCCATTGTGGTCAGCCAGAGTTGTGTGGCTACAGCTCGAGGCCCTGGGGTTTCAACCATCCCCTATCAAAGCTGGTTATATCTCCAGCTAAAATGAAAACATGTGTTTATTGTTTTTTCTTTGGGCAGACGATTAATATTTATGTGATGCATTATCAAACAAAAATAACTATGTATTTTGTTCCTGGAATAATGGTTTGTTTTTTTCTTGTTGGAATGAGGCTGTGCCAAGGAGGGATTGCAGCTGATGCAAGCAGCGTGCAAGGACAATCCACTCACCGGGGCAGCTTTAAATGAAAAAGGGGCATTTCTGAACCGGGGTAAACTGAGGAAAATAATTGCTGTGGTAGGATCTCACACTCCACACAAGGAAAAGTGTCACCCCGGGCAGCAGGAGATCCTCCTGCCAGAGCAGTGCAGGAGAAGCAGGCGTGTTGCAAATCCATTCACGCTTACTTTAGATCAAGTCTCATTTCTGCTCTCAAACAACACAAAAATACCTCCCTGCACACGTTTTACTTTTGATAAATCACTGATTAACGAGGACATGTACTGTGTTCACAGCAGAATAAACTCTTTGGTTTTCATTGTGAAATTGCTGTTTCTTGAATTCAATTAACCCCTCCAGATTACACACAGACCACTGAATATAAATAGAAGAGGTTAAAATGCAGTTTAAATATAACAGATACGGCCGCAACTCCATATTTAGATATACCCTTTAATTTTTTTCCTATTGCCTGCTTTTTACTTACATTTAAATTTAGCAAAGTAATTTTAGACTGCCACTTTTCTACCTACACTAGTTAACTACACTGTGAAGGGAATATATTAGATTAGATACCACTGTCTCCCAAAATGACAAATCGATACAAATTTTTTGGACTCAAACCTTCAGCCAAAAAGACAAAATGCTTGATTTTCCAGGGAAACTTATGTGTCAAAAAGGGCATGGCCAGAACTACCCTGGGAAGTAAAAAATATTCCAGTGGCTGTGAGAGCAGCCAGTTGTGGGTATAATGAGAACCAGTGTGGTGTTATCGCACAAAAGGTAATTCTTCCAACCCAAGACAAACAACATTATAATTCAGGCTGAAAATATCTTTACCCTGTGTGAACTTTTTTCTTCTTTTTTTTTTTTTTGTTAAACAGAAGCATTTTAAATCAACTGTATAGGAGAAGTGCCATGCAAAGCATACACTAATCCCTGGCATCCCTTCCCAGCTGCACAGAAAACCAGCAGGCAGCTTTAGGCACTCAGGGCTAAGCCTGCCCCGCTGACCTCAGATGATATGGATCAGGCCCAAAGGGCCCTTTCCAACCTTACCCCCTGTCAACAACTTCCACCTCGAGTTCGGGACACAGATTTCCACAGAGCTGCTCACATGATTCAGAGAAGTACAGTTTTACCCTTACGGCTGCCTTTTCCTGAAAAAAAAAATACCTATTCACTTAAAAGAAAATGACAAGCTTCCTGATAGTGGAATAAAACCCCAATGCAATGGATATTAAAGGGAAAAGGTTTAAATTATTACTTTAAATTATTTTGTGGTTACCTGCTTGTTGGAGCATTTAGTAAAGCACAGGCAAGGAAATGTGTAGAGTTTTGGGGCCACCAGATGCCATCAGCGCCACAAAAGCTTCCCACTTGTTTTTTTGATCCTCACGGGAGGAGCAACTGCTGTGTTCAGGGATCACAGCGAAGCCATCAAAATTAAACCCTCTGCAGAGGGAGAGCAGTGCCGTGAGCCTCACGCTGTGATAGCAAAGCACTGGGGGTTTGCAGAAGGAGCAGTGGGAAAGGATTTGCCTCATCAGTAGCCAGGTATTCTGTTCACGGGGTGTTGTTCAAACCATCAGGACTGCCACAGTCGTCCCAGGGTTTTCTGCTTGTTTACACAGCTCTGTGCATGCTCAGAAAATAAACTTCCCACAGCAGAGCAGGTAGCAAAGACACTTTCACAGGGCAGGCTCTTGTGCAGAATTGTCATTTGAACACCAACAGCAGCGGGGTCCAAACTGGTGCTCCAGATGGAAAAGGACAAACAAACCAGCATCCTTGTGATGGGAGATACAGCTCCCAAGTCTGCAACAATCTGGGATTTAAGCTCGTGGTTGCCATCACTGTGAGTCCTCATTCGACTCACACACCCAGATTTCTTCAGTGCCCTACAAAGAGCTCAAAATCATTTAAAAGAGAGAACCCCACAGGCACTACTGCTTAAAGGAGAACATGCTTAATATATACATCTCTACTAGACTCTATCTCTAAGAACCAAATACTACAGAAATGACAATCCAAAGGGAGCAACACCTCAGGAGCAAAAAGTCCGACTAATCACACCTAGGACTTACCCTGACAGATCATTTATAAAATTCCTGTAACATGTAACTCTATCCAGTACTATATGATTTGTTTAACTTTGGGACTAAATTGTGGGAGGTGGGGACAGATGCTGTTCAAAGCTCTAAACCCTGAAATGTTTTTGGAGCTGGTAGATTTTTTCCTTGCAAATTTTTTCAAAGAATTTGCCATTGTTTGCCCACATATGCATACGAAAGAGAAAATAAGGACTGATGTTGCTATTCCAATGCACCATATCTTTGTTTTTATAAATGCCCTTTAAGAAATAGATCAGGCAATCAACAGGAAAATATATTTGTCCCCTATGAGGACAAATGGCATGGCTTGGTCCATTTATGCCTTTACTTATTTACTTCTAATTGGGAAACTATCAAATCATCTGTTTCTCTTCTTTGATTTCCCTATCAGTTCAGGTGTACCCGAAATCACCTACCTGATATATGTATCCTGACAAAAGTTTACATTTCATACCCCAGTGAGAAGCTGTCTTTGCCTGCTTCACTTGTTTCAGAGAAACTAGAGGAGTGCTCAAAGGGTTAAACAAAGGAATGTGACATTTCTCCATGTGCAGTTCATAGACCTATCCTGGTTTTCCTAATGGACTCAAAATTACATGGGCAGAACGGGACAGAATGTAATTTCCAAACTCTTACTTCAGAACAGAGTTAATTCACAGAACGACACTTAGAATACAAATAAAAAAAACTTCATTAAAGAACGTGAGCCATTTCCTCGCACCGTGGGCTCTCAGCAAAGGCAGCAATGAATGGAAGTTTATGTTAGCCAGAACTTGCAACTCCAGCTTTTGTAAATACAATTACGTGCACTCCAAACTCCTCAGCGAAGTCATCTGGACACCAAAACAGAGCCCCGCGGATCCCTTACTCTGAAAAGTACCAAACCCAACCACGGCTCCCCTCAGCCACGTAGGTAATTGAAAGTTTTCCTACGTGCAAGAGCTGCCCAGCTTTTGAAAAGCCATAGAGCTATTAGTTAATTGAATGATGAATGGCTGAAAGAATCACAGCGGCACCAACGCTGCTATTACAATTTCAGAGGGGGGAAAAGTGATGGCGAGGGGGAAGGCGATATCACTTCTGCCCGAAGCCAAACACCAAATTAATCCTTCAAAACTCACGGGAGCTCGGGCACGGTTCGACCGCGCGGAGGATGCGCGGCTGCGGCTGCCGAGCCCTCGGGGCTGCCCCGCTCCAGCCAGGGGACACCCGGCCGCTCCCTGTGCCGCCCTCGGGGTCACCGAGCCCCGCCTGGTCCCTGTCCCGGGCCGGTCCCTGTCCCGGGCCGGTCCCTCGCCCATCTCCCCGACGGCCATCGCAGCCCCGAAGGGAAAGCACTTACCGGGCTGGGGCCGGGCTCAGTCCGGGCTCCCGGGAGGGGGGACGGGGCGGGACGGGACGGGGGAAGGCAGCGGCCGCCAGCGGCGGGAGCTCGGCAGGGAGTGAGGGAGCGGGCAGGGGACGGCGGCGTTGCCGGCTGCGGTGAGTCACTTCAGTCGGGACGGGCTCAGCCCATCGCGCTTGCCCCCGGCTCCGGGCGCCTCTTCCTCTCTCCAATCGCCGAGCGCGGAAGAGGCGCCCGGCCCGGCCCGGCCCGGCCCGGCGGGGCCGCTTCGCCCCCCGGCGCGGGGAACAGCAGAGCGTTCGAAGGGGCGAGAAGGAGCGCGCGGTTGTGGCGGGGACCCGACGTGAATCCCAACCTGGATAATAAACCAGGTGGCAGCGCGGGCAGCGGGAGGAATAACGGGATGCTCGGGAATAAAAGGGGAGCGAGGCGCGGCGGGGAGAGCAGAGGAGGCTGGTCCGGCAGAAAGTGCAACCCCATCTCCCAGGCGTGATGGAGAGGGGACCCATCCCGGCGGTGCCATCCGCACTCACCTGGCACGGAGGAAACCCAGGGGCGGCGCGCCCCGTCCTCTCGCCGTCCCTTGTGGCTTGTCCCCGTCCCGTCCCTCCCGCTGGTGGCCCCGGGGCTCCTTACCGGGGCTCCGCTCGTCCCCGCCGCCGCCTCGCCCCGACCTTCCCCGGGCACGCCTCGGGCCCCGCCGCACCGCCGGGCATCGCCCGCCGCTCTCCGCCCGCGGTCAGCGCCCGTCCGCAGCAGAAAACCCAGTAGTCCCTTAATTAAAAATAATAATTAAAGAAAAAAAAATTATAAAAAAATAATAATTAAAAGCGTCTCAGTTTTTAAAGCAGGACTACATAATGTATTAATTGGTTGCTATTAGCATGCAGTTTTATTGAGCATAGCGCACAGAAGTCTGATTGTAAGCGAGGAGTGTTTTCAATGAAAGTGGAGTTATTTTAGCTGCAGACATGTTTACATTTCTGTGGTTTAGTCTATAACTTTCTCTTTTTCTTGCTTCAGAATTCTGCTCCATGAAGCAAAGCCCTTAGCTCCCAGACATTCCAAAAAGTCTGCCAAAATAATAGGGGGGGGGAAGAAAAAAAAGGGAGAAGGAATAAAAAAAAAAACACACACAGACCCCCAAGTCTGGGTCAGGCTCAGGGCTGGGTATGAGCAGAGTGAGTATACCCCCTCCTCACTCTCCCTCTCCAGTTAAAAAGCCTTCAGGGCTCCATTTCCTGTTTTTAAGGAAAAAATAAAGCGGGTCTAGGACTGATTTTTAGACACTGCCTAGACCAGGGCTGGTGGGTGCCGAGGACCTTTAACTCTCTCGGTGCCAAAGAGTACCTGACACCACACATCCAGGCAACCACACACCTCCCTCCCTTGGGACAGCCCCAGCAGAAAGATGGGCTTTTCACCCCAATGTGTGGGTTTTTTTGAGTGACTAAGAGCCCAAAGATCCCAAGCTATCACCTAGTGCTTGAATGAGCAAAGCGAAGAGATAAAATACCCCAAAAGTGGCACTGAGTGCCCTCTGCTACTGCAGCACCCACCTATGGAGATCTCCTGGTGAGCCTGTGGGGTCACTTCTCAGAGTTGGGGACAGATGGGGACAGTGTTGTCACCCACCCCACCTTCCCTGCAGCCTCCCCTGCTGTGGATGGCAGCATCACTCGTGTGGCCCTCAGCGAGTGGGCGTGAAAACAACCCGAGCTTCTGGACGTTAAATCCGCAGCTTTGGAAAATCAAAACGGAGCAGCTTGGCTAAAATTAGGAGCACTCAGTAGTGAATGAAGCACGAAAGTCGTGGACGCCTCCCCACAAAAACTCCCGAGTCAAGTTTTCCACTCCAAGGCTTGGTAGGGTGTGATAGGAATAGAAAGAGGAGTGTTTGGAATAAAGCAGCCCTGTAATGAAGGGTTGTGTCCCCAGGGAAGGGACGAGGAGAGGTGGCAGGACGGGGGATGCTGATGCAGTGCCAGGAGCCAAACAGGGCACTCTGTCCCAGTCCTGCCCCTCTGCTCTGGGAGGGAAAATTCTTGCATCTGCAAGCACCAGGTGAGGCAGGGCAGGAGAATTCACAACAGTGTTTCTTGGCCCCCTGGCCCTCAACATTTGCCTTCCAACCTCATCCAAAGCATTTTTATGTGTGTGTCCCCTCCCCAGACTTTTTTTATTTTTACATGCCAGATGACTCCTGTATATTTGGACCTCTTGCTTTTGAAGAAGCCAGAAAGTATTATGATTTCCCAATGCTTAAAAAAGAAAAGAAAACACCTTTCCCCCAAGATGTTTTATATTAATTTAAGTATCGGTTCCTGGTTCATGTCAGCCCCTTTCACAATGAAATGTCCTGCGTGGGCTGTCACACCTGCTAAATATAATCCTCTCATTCTTTTGATATTCTGCAAAGGGCCTTTAAAGGTTCACATCCTCCAGTCTGGAGGTTTAATTGCTTCATCTCGGATTTTTAAGAAGCCTTATAAATTTCTGATTTTTGTGGATTTCAAAGGAGCAGGGGGAGGGATGGGATGGGATGTGAGGGCGATGCTGAGAGCACTGCCCTGACACTGCAGGTCTTGTAGGAGCTCTGACCCTCCAGCCCGTCCCACAGCTTCTGCTCTTTGGGGCAGACAACTTGAGCTGGTTTTATGAGTTACCAATGAGTTAAATATGAAAATAGTAGCCTATTTCGCTATGGTAAATGCTCACCAGGGAGGAAATCATAGATTCAGTTTTATAGAAGGTAATGGAGTGAGATTACCCACACTAATGTACTTAACTCTTCAGAGAACATAAATCCAGCAGGAGACAGCCCCAAACCAGTTGATCCCCGACACAAACTGCAGCCAGCAGCAGTTTCATCCTTACGAGGTGCTGGTGGCACCAGGTCTGCCCAGTGGAGCTGTGGTTAGAAACCCCTGGTCCACAGGAGTGTGGTGCTTACAGACTCCAACAAGGATGTTCCTGGAGCCAGAAAATGCAGGATGGGAACAGGAGGGCTGGGGGGAAAATCCTTCACCCCAAATCTTTGTACACTGCACACAGCAGCTCTGGGTAACACAATGGCCACAAATGCTCTGAAGTGTGATGCATCATTCCTGTTAAATGAGATAAAACAGCAGAGAGAGGGACACTGAGTGTGCTGACAGCTTCGTGCTGCACCCAGAGGTGGCTGCAGGAACGGTACCCATGGCAGGGTCCCCAAAATGCTGTGTTTGCAGCACAGCCAGTGGGGTCATGTCCAGCTCTCAGTGAGTCCCCATGGCTCCATCTCCTGCATCACCTTCAGAGTTCAGGCACTCCCAGGGGCAGGGGACAGGCTGGCAGCCCCACCAGTGACCAGCACAGAGGATAGCCATGCTCCCACATGGAAAGCTGCTCCACATTGTCACCCCGTGCCCAAAAACCCCAATCTTCTGACCTTTCAAGCCCTACCTGTGTGACTAATTCAGCCAGTGCTCCTGCAGAATGCAGGAGGCAGGAAAGGGAGGAAGGGCCAGCCAGGTGCCTGTGCTCAGCTGGGGCTGGGCTCTGTCTGCAGCAGCACTGACACAGACATAGCAAACAGGCTCCAGCTGCAACAAGGGAATGCAAGCTGGATATCAGGAAAGAGTTTATTCCAGGAAGGGTGATAAAGTTCTGGAATGGCTGCCCGGGGAGGTGGTGCAGTCCCCATCCCTGGGTGTGTTTAACAAAGCCTGGATGTGGCACTGGGGGCCAGGGTTTAGTTGAGCTGTTGGGGCTGGGTTGGACTCAATGATCTTGAAGGTCTCTTCCAACCCAGTGACTCTGTGAATTCTGTGAGGCTGGAGCAGCCCTTGCTGTGCCACCTTCCTGCCACCAGCCCCAGCTCCATGGCCCTGCAGCTCAGTTGTCCCCAGAGCTGACCCCGGTGTCCTGTGCAGGGACAAGGTCCACCCCAAAGGCTCGTTCCTGGAGCTTTCTCTCAGGAGGAAGGAGGAAATTTCAGAGCAGGTGGGTCTTCAATATTGCCTCTTGCTCAGGTCTGTTGTGGGGAAAGGAAAAAAAAAGTGGTCATGTCATTTTCCGTCTCCTTAAAAACAGTTTTCAAAATGCAAGTTCGAAACAAGTGATAAAAATCAAACAAATTGTCACATCTGGATCAAGAAAAAATCCCATAACCGGCGTTTTTCTCATATTTCTTCCAGAGCAGTGGAAACACATTTAGGAAGTGGCACGGCCTCGGATAATTTTGAGTTTTAATGGCAGGACTGGGGACTGACGCACCCAAAGGATGCAACACTTGCTATGGTTTTAGGCTGCTGCTGTGTTCACCACAAAACCACGTCCCCAAGTGCCACATCCACGTGTTTTTTGCAGATTTCCATGGACAGCAATTCCACCACTGGCCTGCACAGCCCATTCCAGTGCTTGCTTCACTCTTTCAGTGAAGAATTTTTCCCTCACATCACCCTAAGCCTCCCGAGGTTCAGCCTGAGGCTGTGTCCTCTTGTCCTGTCACTTGTCACCTGGGAGAAAAGACCAAGCCCCACCTGGCTTTAACCTTTCAGGTGCTTTTAGAGAGCAATAGGGTCCTCCCTGAGCCTCCTTTTCCCCGGGTTAAACAACCAATTCATTTAAAAAAATGCAAAAAGAAGGATAATAATGCCAACTTCATAGCATTAATCATCGTAGTTATTATCAATGAAATGGGATATATGAATGATATTTATTTCTTTTGGTATGAAACAACAGGAATAGAGCACAGATTATTTTAATTTTTTTTGCCCACTGGCGAAATGCAATTCCAGCAACTGATTTTCTCATTAGAATCAGAAAGGATTAACATTTTACCTATGAAAATACCATTTAGGATGAACAAGTCAGGCAACAAAGAGGGGACACCTTTATAAATATTACCTCTCACAGGTGTGGGTGACATTCACTAATGAAGGTTCCCTTATGTAAAAATGACATTTAATTCAGGAAGGATAAGCAGTTATAGAGACACCTCCTGTTGCCTGGATATGAACAGGAAACTCTTTTTCAAGGAGCAGAAATTATGACTTTTTACAGCACTCATGGATTTGTTTTAGTCCCACACTGGATACTTCAATATCATTTTGGCAATCTCTGAAAAAACTCTGGTGCCCCTCCTATGAGAGAAACACTTTTAATTAGGGAAGGAAAGATAATTTCTATTTAAAAGCTCTGAAGTGGCAAAAGAAAGGATTTAATTTGGAACTTAGCTGTGTGAGTATCTGGTTAGATAATGTGGTTGGGTGAAGGGGATATTGATCACCAGGATATTCAGCATCAGTGACTATTCAGGACTGCTGTGTCAATTTGAAAGAATTCACACTCTTTCCCAAGCAATGGGCTAAAAGTGAGATAATTTGTTTATTTTCATTTTTTGGTTTTTTTTTTTTTTTTTTTTGTTTTTTTTTTTTTTTTTTTTCTGCTTACACTGATAGCTGAGTTCAAAAAACAATATTTTGGCAGGAAAGGTCCAGGGAACACTTGACACTCCCATGAATACAGGAGGGGTTTTATGAAGCTACAAGAAATGGTGGAAAAAAATTTAAAATGCCAAAGGTCTGATCTGAGTGATTGGAGAGCTAGGATGCTTGCCTGAATCCCTCCTAAATATCTTGAATCTCCAAAATAAGGTGAAACACTTTGCTTTTTCCCCCCTGTATTTTGGCAAATAACTCCCAAAAGAGACAAAGCTGAATATCTGAATATTTATCCAAAGGCAAGCAGGAAAAATGGTGAAATAAACTCTATGTGCAAATGTCTGTGACCAGAACTGAACTCCTCACCCATTCTCAGTTTGGGCTTGGGGGCCAGAATTTGTGCTTTTTCCTATTTTAACCAAAGCATTTCCCTTCCTCTCTCCAAAGGGGCATTTCTTGGCATCACTGCTGAGATTCAAGGAATAACTCACCCAGTAAATCAATGCAGAAAGGCTGAGTGGAACATCTTTGTAAGAACTGCAAAGTTCTCCAGCCACATGGTGAAAATGAAAAATAAGAAAGCTAAAGGTAGAAGTATTTTCAAAAGAAAAAGGAAGTCAAAGTTAAGGTAGATGGCAAAATGTCATAATTAAAAAAAGTATTTACTGGTGAATAATCTAACCAGAATAAAAAATCAAATTCTGGTGTCAGAATAAAAAATAGCTGATGAATAATGGATGAAGACAAGCCTGACCAAAAATAAAATGTTTACACTTCAATAGAAAGCAACTAATAAGTGTAAATACATAAAGTTACTTGCTCATTATTTTCTTACATATTTCCATTTTTGCATTCCCTTGGATTCCTTGGTGCATGGTGATCCCTGAGGAGGCCATAGCTCAATGCAAATGTAATCCAATGGATTATTAATTATCCAGATAAGCATCATTTTTATGGTATTTAAACTTGTGAATTATCATCTCTCTCTTCTTTACATTAATCTGCTTCTCTGCTTTCTCTATCCATCATGGTACCTGGAAAAAGACTTCAGTTTTCCCTTTATGTTTACGAAATTGGTGTTGTTCACACACAAGTGCCTGTAGTGCTGTAAAATCCAGCTTTGTTAACAGATCTTCGTGAACACACAGCTGTAAGAAAGGTGATATTTCTCTATATTAATCATTTTTCAGCTATTCCCATATATAATCACACCATTTTATCTTTTATTTCGCTAATTCTCACAAGTTTTCCGCAGCATTTCTTTGTTGCCTGTGTCATGCACCAGAGAAATGCCTGAAATTATAGTCAGAGGCAGAAAAACAGCCTCCCCCAGGACCTGAAGCTCCAAAAAACTCCGTGACACACAAATGGGAAAAACTCGATTTTCCACAGCTGCAACTCTGCACGCACCAACGCAGTCACAGACACACAAGCACACGTTTGCTTCCACACCTACCTCGTGGCAGCCGTGCAAACGAGTCCCAGGGATGCCCCAAAAATGCCATTTGTGTGTCTGCAGGCAGGGCAGAGCTGGCTGAGCTGGGCTGTGCAGGTGCCTGAGCACAGAGAGCTCTGTGCAGCCCCGGCAGGAAGGGAGAGGCGGCTGCAGAAGGTGACTCAGCTGGAGATGTGACACTGAGTCACCCTCTGGATGAGCCACCCCTGCTTCCAGCTGCTCAATCCACGCCCCGGAGCTGAGGGTGGCAGCTCTGGAGTGGCAGCAGGTGTAGGGGTGAGGAGACACAGGTTGATCTTCACAGGGATGTCCCCACCTTCACTGGGATGTCCCCATGGCTGCCTGGCTGGTGGCACATGTCCTGCATGTCCCCAGGCCCAGCCACGCTCAGTTTTAACAGCTGGAGGTGACACTCCGTGCTCTGGGCTGGGTGACAAGGTGGGCACTGGGCACAGCTGGGACTCAAGATCTTGGAGGGCTTTTGCAGCCTTAATCATTCTCTGATTCAGGTTTCTTACAGAGACGATGTAAAATGAAGATGTTTCATTCAGGACAGCACTTCCCAGGGATGCCCCAAAAATGCCATTTGTGTGTCTGCAGGCAGGGCAGAGCTGGCTGAGCTGGGCTGTGCAGGTGCCTGAGCACAGAGAGCTCTGTGCAGCCCCGGCAGGAAGGGAGAGGCGGCTGCAGAAGGTGACTCAGCTGGAGATGTGACACTGAGTCACCCTCTGGATGAGCCACCCCTGCTTCCAGCTGCTCAATCCACGCCCCGGAGCTGAGGGTGGCAGCTCTGGAGTGGCAGCAGGTGTAGGGGTGAGGGGACACAGGTTGATCTTCACAGGGATGTCCCCACCTTCACTGGGATGTCCCCACCTTCACTGGGATGTCCCCATGGCTGCCTGGCTGGTGGCACATGTCCTGCATGTCCCCAGGCTCAGCCATGCTCAGTTTTAAAAGCTGGAGGTGACACCCAGTGCTCTGGGCTGGGTGACAAGGTGGGCACTGGGCACAGCTGGGACTCAAGATCTTGGAGGGCTTTTGCAGCCTTAATCATTCTCTGATTCAGGTTTCTTACAGAGACGATGAAAAATGGTGATGTTTCATTCAGGACAGCACTTTGGACTGGATTAAGTGAAGTCTGTTCTGTCACAGATTAAAAAGATTACATGATGAACCCCACTGGTTTTTGACTCAAAGCCCCAGAAAATTTTGGATTATCCCACAAATAAAAGTGGTTTTCTTGATTTTATATCTGAGCCCTTGAATTAACTGGAGAACACTGAAAGATGTTTGTAGGTCAAGACAGGACCAGCCTCACATGCACCATTTATTGCAAAAAAGCAAAGTATTCAAAACATATCTCACTGAAATCTGCTTCTGACACCGTGGTTTAGAGCAAAAATAAAATCATAAAATCACAGAAAGGTTTTTATTGGAAGGGACATTGAAGATCATCCAGTGTCACCCCCTGCCACGGACAAGGGGTGCTCCAAGCCCCAGTGTCCAGCCTGGCCTTGGGCACTGCCAGGGATCCAGGGGCAGCCACAGCTGCTCTGGGCACCCTGTGCCAGGGCCTGCCCACCCTCACAAGGTGGAATTTCTTCCAATATCTGACCAAAATTTCCCCTCTTTCAGTTTGAAGCCATTTCCCCTTGTCCTGTCACTCCAGTTCCTGATGAATTCTCCCTCTCTGGATTCCCTGTAGCCCCTTCAGACCCTGGAAGTTGCTCTGAGGTCTCCACAAAACCTTCTCTTCTCCAGGCTGAGCAGCCCCAACTCTGCCATCCTGTCTCCACAGGGGAGCTGCTCCTTATCCACCCCTTATCAAACTCATGACCTCCTCTGGACTTGCAACAACATTTCCATGGCCTTCAAAACATAAGAAGTCATTCAAACCAAGATCTGATTTATTTTGTCAAACTACAGACATAGCAGGGCTGGACATGGGGATCTGCTGGAATGGGGCTCCTGAAGGATGATGGATTCCCAAGGCCATGATGGTTTTCCAGGAAGGCTGAAGAAAGACTTTGAGATGATCTTGATCATACATTTTTGGTGACACTCACGAGTGGGATCAAGATCAAGGCAAGGCCTTCCACATTCTGGAAAATACCAAGAGGAATGTCAAGCAAAGGGCAGCAGATGATGCTAAGACAGTGACACAAAACAACTGTAAGAAGTCTTTGCTACCATTCAGCAGAACAGATTATGGTAATTGGTCCCATCTGGCTTAAAGATTTAGGAGATCAATACATTCTTGGATAGGCACTCTGTGAAATAGCTGTTAGTGGTGATGTGAAGCTTGCAAACGCTCACCTCAGCTGCCATGTCAAAATTCTGACCTGATTTACAGCTCAGAAAATCCCTGTTTTAGTGAAATGAGTCCTTGCCATTAGATAGACTCAATGATTTCAGAGGTCTTTACAAATCTAACTGGTTGTGTGATTCTGTGAAGCAGAAGGAGGAAAACCACTTCCAGTGATCAGTTTAGATATCGGGACAAGAGAAAATTTTTTATTTATTTTACTTAAATGTAAAAAAAAATACTTTTATTTTAATTTGATTTAAAATTCAATTACAAGCATTTCACAATCACCAAGAGAAGGCTGAATGGGGCTCTGAGCAACGTGGGATAGTGGAAGGTGTCCCTGCCCATGGCAGGGGAGTTGGAACCAGATGATCTTTGAGATGCCTTACAACCCAAACCATTCTGTGATTCTGTGATCAAATTATTGCACTGCCTGCTGTCATCATTTCAAATTTCAATGAGAGTCCCATTTTGATCAGGCAGTTTTTTTGTTTAGTTTCCCTTTTTTAAATTTGAGAAAATATTTGCACTGTTATTTCAAACATTTCAACCATTTCAAAGTTTACCATCATGAAAAATTGGGCTAATGTATTGAAAAGTTTGCTCAAGTAGGTGGATTTTTTTAATGGAAAGAACAGTTGGTTCTGCAGAAGCATGGGAATTTTTAGCAAGCACTGCATGCTTCCCTTCAGAAAGGAGTGAAAGTGTTCCTGTTTTTCCAACCAATCTGCCATTCACACAAAAGCAGGCAGAAGGGCATGTTCTCAATGGGACAATAGCCATTTTCTGGAGAGCAAAAGGAAAACATAAAGTGTGGTGTTAGAACAGGAGAGATGAAAAGATAAGATTTAGAAAAAAACTAAAAAAGAAAAGTGGAGGGAAATTCGCACAGCTGTTTCTGGACTAAAACAAGAGCTTTTTCTGTAGAAAAAGTGTGTGCAAACTGCAGCAAATCCCAGGACAAGGTGGTGGAATTGCAAGCCTGGGAAAGCCTTGCTTTTTTTTTTTTTTTTTTTTTTTTTTTGCTTATATTGCACAAAAAGCATCTTTCTGTGGAAACGAGCCCTCTCTGATCTTTTTCATTCTCTTGACGCAGAAATAAAACAACTTAAGAGTCAAATAAAAAGCTGGGAACAGAATAAGCAGTCTGAAACTATATCACACCAGATAAAATTCCCTGGAATTATCTGTGAATTCATTGAAACTGTATTTTATGTTTTGCTTCAAGACAACTGCTTTGTTGAGGAGGTAATGTATAGATTAAGACAGGACACTTAAACTCCAAAGTCCCCTCGGAGAGTTCTTTCTGGTATAAATCTGCACTCCTTTAACTTGGATTATAAACAAACTGTATGATATGCACCTGGTTCTGGCAGGATCTCTATTATTTCGCTCCCAAAAGCAGCTTTATAAAGAGAACACACTGCATTTCAACAGCAATATAAATAATGTTGCAGTTGGGGATCTCTTGCGCCGCTTTCATTTTTCTTTCTTCCCTTTTCATCTGAACTGAACCACACCTCTCTAAAAATACTCACTTTCTTAATGAAAACCATATTTTTGGGCATTTTTTTTCCCCCCGCGTGTGCATGACCTGTTGAAATGCCTGCACAATCTTTAATGTCAGATTCAGACGACACATGTCTTATGAAAAAGTCTGGGACTCAGCTCTCAGCGGGGCCTCCCAGATCTGTCCCACGTCTTTATGAGAAAGAGGGACAAAACCTTCTGGTTTTGGCATTTTATATTGGAGTCTGCTCTAAGCTAGGCAAGAGGGGAAAAAAAAAAAGAAAGAAGGAAGGAAAAAAAATAGCAACGTAGAGTCTAGACAGAAGAGATTGGGTTGAAATCTGGAAGCTATTCAGTGAGGCTACGGCACATGGCAGCTTGACTGCAGAAAGAGATCACATTACGCTGCCTAATTACACATGAAAAATGTACACATCACTTTTCTCAAATGCTTGGAAAAATAGATGTTCAGATGGCAACTGCGAGCCAGTAACTGAGCCAGTCGTACATACTTGGAACGCCTCACAAATGGCATTTCTAAAGCCTGCAGGTTTTTTTTTGTGTGTGTGTGTGTTTTTTCTGTAATGTAATTTTTGTGTGTGTGTGTGTGTGTTTTTTCTACAATGTAAGGCATTTTTAAAGCCTGCAGGGTTTTTTTTTTTGTGTGTGTGTGTGTTTTTTCTGTAATGTAATTATTGTGTGTGTGTGTGTGTGTGTGTGTGTGTGTGTGTGTGTGTGTGTGTGTTCATAAAACAACTTCTAAAAAAGGCTTTCTAAATTTAGCAGGCGGTTGTGCTGCAGGAGCGTGAAAGGTGAAAATCCAGCATGTAAGCAGGAGGAATGGGGGCCTAATCCTGACTCCTCATGAACCAGTTCAGCCAGGTTTCCTTGTGAGTTTGGGATGATCCACAGGCTCATCTGCTGGGAGCAAATGCTGTGGGGTTTAGACCTCCAAGGGGAGCATCTCATGGCAGCAAAGACAAGCAGATGCCTGGGTATTTGCAGCACCTACGGCCCTGAGGTTTTGTGTTTATACCCTGCCTAGGAAATGTTTAAAAGAGAAGTTTCTCCTTTCTCATGGAGAAAGGAGAGGGGGAAAAATAATCTCATTTATTGTCATCGTCTCCTCCTGACCTCGTGGCTCAGGGCTGACGGCTCCTGTTCTGCCCCACTCCTGCCATGCTCCTGCCAGTGATGGGTTAAAAGAATCCAGAGATAAGTTTGATGGAGTTTTGTTTCCGTCTCTTTGGATGGCATGTGCTCTTCTTTTTAGCTTAAACACAAATGCTCAAAGACGGGATACAAATAGGGCTTGGACTAGATCATCTCCAGAGGTCCCTTCAGCTCTAAATACTCTGTGACTCTGTGGTTCTCTGATTTTGTGATCCTGTGACTGCTCCAAGGGAGAAGACAGTTTTCCAGGCTATTTCCAAAGATTTGCCATTTCAATCCAGCTAATGAGACCCATGGAGGTGGATTTTCCAGGGGGAAACGTCCGTATGTCCATCTGCCTCCCAGACTTTACTTTTCCTAGAAGACTGATCAGAGCAAGCTCCTCCAAGAGCAGAAATGCCCAACCCTGCCCTCAGTGCTGCTCTGGGTGAGCACAGAATAAAAAACAATCCCCAAAGCCCTCTCTGGTAGCCAGGCTCTCCATGTGACTACTCCCTCGGAGTGCCTTTGAGTCCTTCCCTCCTGGAGCCAGCGGCCAGTCAGACCTTGGCTGAACTGTTAATCCTTCCAGACAAAGAGGAAAGAACATCTTGTAAAGTTTTGTTGCTGTTGTTATTGTTAAAACGGACTAAGCGCAGAGCAACTGGCCAAGCTATCTGGCAAAAGTGACCCGCAGAAAAGTCTTTCAGAAGAAAAAAATTATAATTCTGGATATGAGACTAAGCTTCCCCAGGTCAGGGGGAAGAACTGCACTAATCCAGCTACTCCCAGTTGCAATATGGGTTGTTGAGCTAATTATTTCATCACCATGCTCTGCAGGGCCTTCCTCAGAGTCTCCCTTTTACGGCTGGGGAAAAAAAATAAAAAAGGTGCTTTGCTATTTGCACAGCCTGAGCCTGCTGGAGTCCTGCGTGAGAAATACCAGTCACACGAGAAGTAGATGGGGCAGAATTTGGGTTGGAAATCGCTCTGCTCTGGCCAGGGCAGCTCTCCTGCAGGAGGGAAGGATGGGGGCTCTGCCAGACCCTCCAGGGAGCCAGGTTTGCCGTGGAGGAGCTGGGATGTGGGTACAAGTGGGAGCCACGACCACATAAAGGCTGTTTCCCTTTAGGACAGGCAGGAACCATTGTGGGCAAGGGCTTCCTTCCCAGGTTAAGCCTCTGTAGAGGTTTGGAGTGGATGGATGGACAGACCCAGCCTGGCCTCTGCTCCTCTGGGTATTTCCCCGCCGTGTATTTTGTGTCCCGCTGCGGTCGGAGGCAGCAGCACCAAACTCTGAGAGTCCTTCAGCACAGCAAGGCCTCCTCTTCCAGAAGGGTCAGCCTTGGGTGTAATTTATGAGGGTTGTGGTAGCCCTGCTACCCTCTGGCTGCTTGTGATGAATTTTAAATCAAGTGAATATTTTGTGCTCGCTGGTGAAAGGGGGAGGAATGATGGCAGGAAACAAATCGCTTCCTCTGGTCATTCCTCTCGCCACAGCCACGCTATTTTTAACAAATCTTATTAAAAATTATACAACCCTGTGTTTTCTGGAATCTTCTTTATTGAACGAGCACAAAACAAACCAAGACAGGAAAAACGCACCATTTGGAGTGGCTCCTTTTGCTGCAACTGATTTAGCAAAACAAGCCACAGGGGAACGCAAACGGCTTTCTAGAGCTGTTTCCTGAGGCCATCCCTCTCTCTCCATGTGGAAGAGAGGAATATTTTACCAGCTGCATCACTTCATGCAATAGTAAATTATTCTAAGTGTTCTGGTCACCACAAAATACACTGTCTTGGGAGGTTATTCCCATTATCAGAGTTATTTGTTTAATTTCTTGCTGCAGCCAGCTTTAAACAGCATCTTTTCCAAAAATATCGTCCAACCCACGGGTGTCTGCTTAGCAGAAGGGGCTAAAACTGCAAACAGACCCTCCAGATTTGGGCATTTCCTAGGTCAGGGTCAGCTGGGACAAGATTTTGATGGAGGGAAATTCTTCTTGCAAATTACTTTCAAGATCCCTGGTCTCTAGTGCGTTACAATCTAGAAATTATTAATAAATTTGGAATTCTTAGGAGCAAATGTGAAAAATTGCTTTGTTTGCATCTCTGTCTGGTGGCAAGAGGTGAGGCTGATGATTAGATAATCATCTAATAGATGATTAGATAATACCAGTGTCAGCTTTCTGTTCACTCAGGTGTCACCTTCACTGCATTGGACCATTCCTTACCAGCCACTCCTCACTTTCAAAGACTGAATTTTGTACTCAGAGATTTTGTATAAATGCAGAAGACATCAAAGTTGCAAACAAACGTAAATTTGGACCCTGACTATTCCAAATATTTACATGCCTAACTCGAACTTATTTCAACAGGGTTTAGGTGCCAGAAGACCTTGATGAAGCTTTTCTGGATCAGAAATGAAACTTCAAGGTCACATTATCACTTGTATTGCTCTTTACCATGACATCCTCGACACAAGAAAGGGGATCTTCTTTTGAATTTGGTGTCCCCATCCATGAAATTTTTGTCTCCATTTGTTAAAGTCACTTTAGTGAGTTGGGCTTGCAGAAATCTCATTAAAGGTTTGGGAGAAGGGGCAGGAAATTTTCTGTTTCATCTATTATGTCTTGTCACTACCAATAAGAGCAGTGATGTTCCATTAGGATGGTGGGTGAAGCACTTGCCCTACTGATTTTGTTTAGGCTTCAAAAAAAATTGTTAACAAGCATGTTGATTACTGATCTGGATCAGATACAATTATTATACAATATATTCAAAACCAAAATGTTCTGTATTCTTTGAGATCCACCAGCATGTGTCTTGATGTGTTCCTGCTGTTAACCCTAAAATGAACGTCTTAAACCAGATGTTTTGTGACATTTTAGACAAATATCACTGTTATAATAAATGTATTTATTTATAAATATCTTTTTAGATAATAGAATAGCTTCAATCTCTTGATGATGAAAACATTTAGAACACCTTGCTCTCATATCTCTGAAGAAGTACCCCAGAAATCTCACCAAGATACCTGAACATTTTCAGCCCTAGGTAACAAATTTAAAGTAGAAGTTGTCCCATATTTCTCTCCCTGTGGGACTCACAGGTTGTGTGGCTTTTACTGGTTAGGGCTCATTTATTTTTATTTTAGTGATCAGAGGATGAAGTCACCTTAGATATTCAACCATGTATTTTATCCAGAATGTTTTTTCCATTGGTTTCCTTTCCTACAGGTCATTCCAGGAGATTTGTACCTCAATGTGAAACAAGTTATTCCTCTCTCAGAGATGTTTGCAATTTACAGTGACTTCAAGAGATAACAAAGCTGGGGTTTGGTGGTTTTTTTAGGATATTAAGATTAATTATCATCCTTGTTGCTTTCAGGTCACATCCTCAGGGTGACCTCTTCCAGGAGGTTGCTCCAACAGCAGCAAACAGGGATCAGTGATTCCTTGGAATTGTGCCTACAGACTGCAAGACCCTGCAACTGAGGTTAGCACCATGGATTAATCCTGAAGGAAATCCTGGAGGTCTTAAAATAAATAGCTCCTCTATGAAGACTTTCCCAAAATCTGAGATGCATTTAATGGTAAGAGGCCCACATCTGCTGGGAGAGACCTATCCAAAGAACAAGGAAATTCTTGAATCCAGATGATCTCAAGCCTGGGCTGAGCCTAAATGGAGCTCCTGACCAGTGAGGATGTTTTGGGTAACTGAGGCCTCTCTGCTCACAAGGTCCTGACACTGATCTAACTGCAGGCTAGAGGACAAAATATTATAAAAAAACAATTAAACAACAACAACAAAAAAAAAAACCTGCAGAAGAAATAGCACCATACAGGGCTTCAAACATGAGGCAGAAGAGAAAAGTGGTGAGCATTTCAGCAGGAAAACCTGTTTATTCTCCACCTAAAGGCTAGTTCATGAGACCTGGGGGTTAGGAAGGAACAGTGGCCTTTGTAAAGGCCAAAGAGTGACAGCCCAGAGCAGAGGGATCCACACTGCTCGTGGCACAAAGCCCACCAGAGTGAGGGAGCAGATCATCAGCCAAGGGGAGAGCAGCAGCAGGCTCAGGACCTAAATCCCCTTGGCTGGGAAAGCTGCCTGCTACCAGCAAAGTCCAAGGAAAGGTCAGTGTCTGAGGTCACTGGCAATTTTGGAATGACAGAAAGCCCCACTTAACTCTTTGCAGGCTGTTGCCACCAGAATTTCTTCTATGAAAATCCTCTTTTTGCTAATGCCACCTCTGCAATTTGGGATAAAATTTCCCATCAGCCCAGAGGAGCAGAGGTTTAACAGTGAGCAGAGGACACCCCTACTCAAATTCTTGTCCCACTCTTCTTCCAGTCCCAAAACAAGGAAAAATTTTTTGGTAATGTTTACCGGAACCAAAGGCTTTTGCTGCCTTTTTTGCATTTGGGATATCCCAGGAGGGCTCCACACCTCACAGATGGAGTCCCTAACAGGATGCAGCAAAGGTAAACAGACAGAAAATGAGGAATAGCTTATTTAGCTGAAACTGAAGAAGGGCTCTAGGTCAGGAGGAAAGATCACACAAGCTGGAATACAGCCAGGACACCAAAGGCAGACCTTTAAAACCTGAGGGGGAAAACCCCAAACCTTTAAGATCTTCAATGAATGCAGTTGGGAGTCATGGACATACTCAGTTTCTCCTGCCCTGTGGCAACTCCACAGCCAAAGAAAAGAAAGTGGGGAGTTCTGAATTTCTGGGGAACATGATCCAAACTGCCCAGACTCCTGCAGGGTTCCATTTGTGCATCCCCCATGACAGGTGACAGCACTGAGCTGTGAGGCAGGCTGGGGGTTCAACACAAACAGGGCCTTTTTCATTAATCCTTTCCAAATTCTCCACATGGATAAACCCTGCAAGAACACACAATTTCTCCCTAGCAGTGGCTACTTATAAAAGCCTGATACATTTAATTCTGGCAGGAAGGTGTCTTTGGGTTAAATAAAATAAAAACAGCCCACCTCAAAATCCTAATTCCACGGTATATAGAAAACTGTGGGAACCCTGTTAAAAAGTGTCACTGTATTAAGTTGTGCAGTTGGGTTTCCTTCTAATTTCTGTGTTCTTTTGTCACAATTTAAAGCAAGGACAAGAATGTTTCTCAAACAAGCATTGTGCTGACATTCGACAATTCAGGATATACATCCTCGGAATTTTTATAAAGTGCAATTCTTAAATATTATTTTTCCAAAATGCTGCCCAGAGGAGCCATTCTGGCTGATCAAACAGCCCCTGGAACTGCAGTAAATGCTCACACAGCATTTCTGCAAACAGGGCCTGGTATGAAAACGAAACACCGCAGGGGCACTGTGAAACACCAGTTAGCACCTTTATAAAACCCTGCTCCCGAGGTTAACTGCACTGCAGCCCTGGCAGATCACAGAACTCAGAGTCTTGTACGAGCACAGGGTGGAATTGTGTTAATTTGTCTCAGAGGGTGCAATTGCAATGGTCCTTTCTTGTCTTCAGAGGAATCCAGCTCGGAGACGATGCACGCCTGGAGGGTTTTTATGGGAACCTGCTTCTGCAGGGGGGTGCTCGTGCTTTCACACAGCTGCTCTTGTGCCCTTCAATCTGCACAAGACTGTCTGAAGAGGAAATACAAAGGTCTACACTGAAATTTGCTCTGTGATCGAGTGATCCAAGTGGTGTTTTGTCCTTACGCCGCGTCGGGTCTTTGGCACGGCGAGATGTCTTTGCCTATTTGGGAAAAGACAAGGCAAACAGTAAACGGGCTGAAATCCATGCTGCTTCCTTCCTTTCTTGTGTTTTCTTTTGCCAGCTACACAATATTCTCTCAGAGAAATCTGCAAGCCATCAAGTGCAGCAGGCAGTGTTTGCTGGGAGCTGAGCCGTGAGTTCGGTGGGACCCCCCCTCCCCAGCAGGGCTGGGACCCCTCTCCAGTGCTGCACACACACAAAGTTCCTGCAGGGCAGGTTAACACAAGGCTCAGACTAATCCAGCAGCTTGAGGTTGTCAAAAGGTGTGATCCCACTCCCAGACCTGCTCTGGAATGGGGCCTCAGCGCTGTTTTGGAGAGTGAGATTATTTTTGTCTTTATAGCAGGACTGGAGTGTGCTGGAGCCCAGAAACCAACCCTGCCCTGGGCTGGTCCCACAGCCTGGGCAGCAGGAGAGGGATTGGGATTGTGTCCTTGTGCCCTGCTCAGGTGAGAGCCCACCTGAGAGCTGCCCCAGCCCTGCCCCAGCACAGGAGGAGCTGGAGCTGCTGCAGAGAGCCCAGAGGAGGCTCCAGGATGAGCAGAGGGATGGAGCAGCTCTGCTGGCAGGAAAGGCTGGCACAGCTGGCATTGTTCACCTGCACAGGAGAAGCTTTGGCTGAGCTCAGGGTGGCCTTGCAAGGCCTGAAGGCGCTGACAAGAAAGATGGAAAGAGAATATTCACAAGGGCACAGTGCAACAGGACAAAGGGGATGAAAGAAAGGGAAAGAGAGTAGGATTAGATGAAGTATTAGGAAGAAATTATTTACTATGAGGGTGTGCAGGCCGTGGCACAGGGTGCCCAGAGCAGCTGGGGCTGCCCCTGGATCCCTGGCAGTGCCCAAGGCCAGGCTGGACACTGGGGCTGGAGCAGCCTGGCACAGTGGAAGGTGTCCCTGCCCAGGGCAGGGGGGTGAAACCAGCTGATCTTTAATGTCCCTTTCAACTGAGGCCATTCTATGATTCTATAATTCTGTGATTCATGGCAGTAGTATGACCTTCTACTCAGCAGTGACAGCCTGGGATGGTCTCACATTGCCTTTGCTCCAAAATTCTCTCATTCCTTGTGGTCAGTGCACAGTCCTTGTGGTCCCCTGGCACAGAGGTGGTCATTCTGCAGCAATGAGAAACCCACAGAGTTCATGAAGGCTGAGGGAAAAGGAGGAGCTGACCCCAATTTTCATAGTCCAAGCAACATTTCCCTTAAGAACAAAACTCTTTGCCTCACCTCATCTCCTCTTTGCACCTCATCCTTGCAGGCTTTTGGAACTTCCAGCTTAAATGGGACCTCTGGAGTAGCTCCTGCCCTTAGTAAATAACACACAAGCTGATAAACTGTGAAAAAAGCAGCGAGGCCTTGCCAAGAGGCTTCGGCGAGACATTTGTTTTTGGGAAGGCCTCTGCGCAGCACAGGCCGCGCGCACATTCAATCACACAGAGAAACATTTACTGCAGGATATATTTTTAGGCAGTTTTTCAAGTGGCAGATTTCCACAGGGGTACAGCACTTGTCCTGTGGTAATTAAGTGAACAGAAAATATTAGTCTGGAGCTGGCCCGGCTGATGGTGGAGGGAACGTGTTACACCCAAGTTCAGGAGAGGAGCAGGGTCTCTCTCTGTGTGGGCTGCAGAAAACTGAGCACATTACACACATATTTGGCCACCACCAGCAAGAAAGGCCACGAGCTTCCCTCACACTGAGGAGGGAGCTGAATAGCTTTCAGCTGAGCAGGATGCTGCTTGGCTGCTCCAAGAGAGGGGAAAAACATGTAGGAGTCAATCATAGGTTGGATTTAAAAGGGGATTCGTGTGACAGCCAGGGATCTGAGGGGTGGTGGAAAAGCTGATGGGTGCCACAGCTCATGTGGAGCCAAGTTGCACAGATTGGAGTGTGACACATCTCCCAGCTTGGATCTGCAGTGACTTCAGGGTTGGAGGCTGCCCCTCCATCCATGAGGAAAAAAGACTGAATTTTAAAAAGCCTGGATATGGCACTGGTTGCCAGGGTTTAGTTGAGGTGTTGGGGCTGGGTTGGACTCATGATGTTGAAGGTCTCTTCCAAACTGGTTATTCTGTGAATTCTGTGAACCAGAACCTGCCAGGGCAACCTCCACCTCCTCCTTTTGCTCTGACTGTTGGTGGGGTTTTGGAACAAAACCAAGGGTGGCTGCTGGGGTTAGTCCTCCAGCAGGGAACCTGTCCCTCCCACTGTCCTCTCTCCCTGGCCTTGTGGATGGGGAGCCTGAGCATCCCAAAAGTGCAGGCAGAGCTGGTCCCTTGCTCCTTAAAGCACATTTTGGAGTCACCAGGGATGGATTTCAGCAGGTACCAGAGGGCACTGCTGAGTGAGAGGCTCACAGAACAGGATGGGAAGTCATCCACAGCAAAGCTGCTTGGGTTTTGTTGGCTGTTTTTATCAGGGGCAATGTTGGCTTGGAAAAATCCTTCCCACACATCCTCAAGACAGGGAAGAGTTGCAGTAGGAGTTTTAAAGGCAAACCAAGTGGAACTCAGCCTTTAAAAGTTGTAATTCCTTGAAGAATTCTTGCCATTTTTTTTTCAGTTCCCTGGGCTAGTAAAGGGCCAGATGCAGCTTTAGCACCATTCCAGAGGCTTTGCTGAGTCCCTGGTGGGGCACTGGCCTGTCTCACACACCAAACACCACACATCTGCTGTGTCCCCCACACAAGGACAACCCATGGACTTGCAACAGGATGGTGGGAGAAGTTTTCATCATGTCGTGACCAAATTCAGGAATCTTACAGAAATGTTCATGGGCTCAGTGATGGTGAGAACTGCTGAAACTTCCACCTTGTCCTATCAGACATGTCCGGTTTCTCTTTATTGATCAGAAGTTATGCAGATTGATCTGGGTGCATGTCCACAAAATGTGAGATAGACCAGGAGCCAGAAACTCGTTTCTAAAATTGGGTAATATTTTGAAAATGGGTAATATTTTAAAATAGTGAAAATTTCCCACCAAATTGGGAAACTCCCCATCCCTGGAAATGTTCAAGGTCGGACTGGATAGGGCTTTGAGAAACCTGGTCTAGAGGAAGGTTCCCTGCCCATGGCAGAGGGTGAAATGAGATGATCTTTAGGTCCTTCCCAACCCAAGCCATTCTATGTTTCCATGATTATCACTTAATTTATATTTCTCCTCCTCAGACAAGTATTCTTTGGGATTAAGTATTTTCCTTCCTTGTTCTTTACAGTCTTTTGTTAACTGCTAATTTCTCTTCTTTCTTTTAACTAACTGAGTCTTCAACACATTTTACAAAGATGTTCAGAATATCATTTATCACATCTGAGTATCATTTACTCCACTGTGCTTCAGTTTCATGATACACAGAACACATTTATCCAATTGACATCTCTTCAGATGAAATGTACCTGCCAAAACCCGAAACTTTCCTTTTCATTTCTAATTTCCTAATTCCATTTTCAGTATTTTACACATACTGCTAGAATGATACTTTAAAAAAATAGAAACTAAAAGCCAACGTATCACAATTTGAATAAACAGAGGATGTTTTCTGATTTCTTTAAGTTATATTGTTCAAATTCATGAGGCTGTGCTGTGAATAAATATTTTAATGTGTCCAAAAGTGAAAATGAATCCTACATAGACAGCATATACTGGATTATCTTCTCTTGCTGGTGCTGATGACTCCACTGGGAAGTTGTATGGGGCCTTTACTGTATTCCTGAATGTTAAATGGCAAAACACTATCCCACTGCAGAGTATTCCCATAAAATCATTTGATAGATAGTAACATAAAAATGAAATTCAGTCTGTTACAACCTCTTCTATAAAAACATAGAGACAAATTGAAGAGATCAGTATTTGTTCTTCAGTTCTAGCCCTGAGGAATGATGCCACATCCTTAGCCCAGCTGCTGGGGGAGTATTCTGTTACCCAAAATGTCCAGCACACTGAAGAATCCAAGGAGGGCAAACCTCCAGCTCCTGTTCTGCAGATTGATCAGATCACAAGTTTCCAGGGCAGAGAGAGAATGAAACCTAGAACCAAACTGCAGAAAGCACCTCCTTCCCCTCCGTGCCCTGCCAGGAAGGATTTTTTTAGCCTGTTGTTGTCACAGAAACACTGTGTAACTCATCACTGCCCCACTTCCCAGAACTGCCATTCCAGACTCCTGGGGGATCCCTGAATGATTCTTGCAGAGCTGCTACAGGCAAGACACAGCCATGGATTGAGGAGAAATCCATGGAAACTGGCTGTGCTGCTGTGCAGCATCTGCCCCCCCGCCCCGTGTGCTCCGTCCCGCGGTCACCGCGCGGTCACTCGTGTGACACTGAGTTTACATCTCAGCCTGGCTAACCAGGAATCTTGGCAGTGCTTGGAGACTTCCAGCCTTCCCAAGATTAAACATCTATGCCATGCTGTTTCTTGTTTCAGTTCATTTTTTTTCTTTGCTGTACTTGCACCATTAAACTGCTGAGGAGTCCCTTATCGCGGGATTATTCCCCCGTCAGGGGTGCAGGACATCAGCAGTGACTCCATGTCTGAAGTTCTCCTCTCTCACATTTACAAGGAGATTATAAGCATTTTATTTCTGCCTCTTTTTTTTTCTTCTTTTTTTTTTTTTTTTTTCTGTGCTGAAGCTGATTTATTTTGCTTACATTTCTCCCTGATAAATTTTCCTCTCAGTTTCCAGTGGGGATAGGTAAGATTTTCTTTAGCCGCCATTGCTCCTGCACTCTCCACTCCTGTGTCACACCCAATCTAGGCTCCACCTGATTTATTTCAGCCTTCAGCAGCAACAGGAGCTGAGCTCAGAGCAGATCTTTTGGGGAAGAACCATGACTATTTCAGCATTAGTTAAAGGCCAAAGCTCTGGACTGCTAAGGATAAGCATTTCAACAACAGTCATGACAAATAAAGTGGCCAAGAATGTCTAAAAGGCCTTTTAAAATAACAGTTCTGAGTTCTGTCACTTGGATGGCTGTGCTTAAAAGCTAAGATAGTTCATAAAAATTATGCCCATAGTTGCTGAGCTATTT